AGAAGCTTTCACAGGAAAGCACTTGTCGCTGGGATCACTCCTGAAGTGGCTATCCACTTACCCAGTGTGCCAAAATCGGTCTCACTCTGTGCCCCTGGGGGCTAAGGCTGTAAGGCGGTCTCAGTCCCCTCCTTTAGGCTGCTCAGTCACTAGATTACTTGCTCCCAACAAATTTTTGCTCTGTTACCCTGAGGGTGGAGTATGCCAGGGCACTAATCCCACAATGGCTCTGCGCAGCCCTCAGTTGAATACTATTAGCTCCGTCTGGCTCAGCCGCTCAGTCTGGGGCCCTAGATAGTGGCTTAAAGTCCTGCGCACTCTTGCCCAAGTCTCTCAAGAACTTGGGATTGAGTGCCAAGTCCCAAAAAAAGCAAAACAGCTCACAGGTAAGGCCTTTCCAGTTTCCATACTTACTACTGATGTACTTGCAGCTGCCAGTGGGATTAGACTGAACAAACACATGCAACCACTTGCCAGTTTTCCACTGCTTTGTCCTCCTCATGGGGTCCAGAAGTCTCCCACTGACTCCCTGTGTCCTCAAAGGGATGTTTATGTGCAGATCCTACCAGCCATACATGCCTGGAGTCTTGTCTCCTCAGACTCACTATGCCCAGTTGCAAGGAAGCTGTTACTCAGCCGCCATCTTGCTCCTTCCCTGAGTACTTATTTTCTAGAAAGACTAGTTCTGAAATTTTTCAAAATGTGATGAATCAAGATAAAGGTCTTGAGTTAAAATAATAACCTGTAATGCTGGGCAGTTTCCATATAGGCAAACCTGAAAGAGTAGAGAAGTATAACAAGTTAATATGGAAAAAGTGTGGAAGACAAAATAGCTAACAGAGACAAGGAAGTTAATGTGCTCTGAGACCTGCCTTAATAATATTCTTTTTATCTAATTCTGCCAGTAATGGCATAAGATTTTTTTTTTCTGTTTACCTTAAGTTTCATTTATTTCTTCTTTTTCTAGTTTCTTAAGGTAGAGGTTGACAAGACAGAATTGATTTGAGGCCTTTCCTGTCTTCTAGTATAGGTGTTAAATACTATAATATTCCCTCTAATTACTGCTTTAGCAGCATCCCTCAAAATCTGATATGTTGTATTTTTACTTCAGTTCAAAATGGTTTCTTATTTTCTTCTTATTTTTTTGTTGATCCTTAGAAGTACACTGTTAATCTTTAAATACTTGTCACTTTTCCAAAGATCTTTCTGTTATTGATTTCTTTTTTAAATAATAAAGTCATTTCTCTGCTTTTATTTTTTTTATTAAATCATAAACACATAGATCATGTATACATTAATGCATTTATGGGGTACAATGTGTTGATTTCATGTAGAATTAGGAACACTTACATCACACTAGTTAATATATACCTCATCTTGTTTACCTAATTATTGTGTTAAGATATTTATACTCTGTACTTAATAGATGTGACAGATACCCTTGCATTATGCACCATAGGTGTGATTCCACCATTCACTCTCCCTCGATCTAACCTCCTCCTTCCCCTCTTATTCCCCCCCTTCATCTTAGGCCATAGTTGTGATCTATTCTTCATATGAAAGTGCGAGTGATTGTTAATTGGTTTCATAATAGTACTGAGTACGTTGAATATTTTTTCTTCCATTCTTGAGGTACTTTACTAAGTAGGATATGTTCCAGCTCCATCCATGTAAATGTAAAAGAGGTAAAGTCTCCATCTTTTTTAAGGTTGCATAATATTCCATGGTATACATATATCACAATTTATTAATCCAGTGGGTTGATGGGCACTTGGGCTTCTTCTATGACTTGGCTATTATGAATTGAGCTGCAATGAACAATCTGGTGCAAATATCTTTTTTTATAAAATGATTTTTGGTCTTTTGGATATACACCTAGTAGAGGAATTGCAGGATCAAATGACAGGTCTACTTTTAGATCCCTGAGTATTCTCCATACTTCTTTACAAAAGGGATATATTAGCTTACATTTCCACCAGCAGTACAGAAGTATTCCCTTTTCTCCACATCCACACCAACATCTGTAGTTTTGGGATTTTGTTATGTGAGCCACTCTTACTACAGTTAGATGATATCTCAAGGTGGTTTTGATTTGCATTTCTCTGATGATGATGAGCATTTTTTCATGTGTCTGTAGGCCATGCGCCTGTCTTCTTCAGAGAAGCTTTTGTTCAAGTCCCTTGCCCACAATGAAATGGGATTACTTATTCTTTTCTTATTAATAAGTTTGAGTTCTCTGTGGATTCTGCTTATCAAACCTTTGTCAGAAGCATAACCTGCAAATATCCTCTCCCATTCTGAGGGCTGTCTGCTTGCTTTACTTACTATGTTCTTGGCTGTGCTTTTTATAAAGTTTGATCAGATCCTAGTAATGTATTTTTGGTGTTGCTTCAATTACCTAAAGGTTCTCCTCATAAAGTATTCTCCCAGGCCAATTTCTTCAAATGTTTCTCCTGCACTCTCTCTAAGAATCTTTATAGTTTCATGTCTTAAGTTTAAATCTTTTATCCAGTAAGAGTCAATTTTTGTTAATGGTGAAAGGTGTGGGTCCAGTTTCAGTCTTCTATAAGTCACCAGCCAGTTCTCCCAGCACCATTTGTAAATAGGGAATCTTCCCCCCAATTTATATTTATAATTTGAAAGATCAAATGACAATAACTGTCTGGGTTCATTTCTTGGTTCTCAATTCTGTTCCATACATTTATCTCTCTGTTTTTGTGCCAGTACCATGCTGTTTTGATCACTATAGATTTATAGCGTAGTTTGAAGTCTGGTAGCATGATTCCTTCTGATTTGTTTTTATTTCTGAGTAATGGCTTGGCTATTCGAGGTTTTTTCTGGTTACCTATAAGACGAAGTGCTAATTTTTCCAGATCTTTAACGTATGATGGTGGTGTTTTGATAGGGATTACATTAAAGAAAATACTTGTTACTAGAATCCTTTTAAAGTTATTAAGACTTGTGTTAGAACCCAGAATGTCATCTATCTTGGTGAATATTCGGTGTGCACTTGAGAGGAAAATGTGTATTCTGCTGCTGTTGGATTGACTTTCTCTCGGTGCCCATTAGGTCAGGCAGTAGTGTGTTTATGTCTTTTATATTCCTGTTGATTTTCTGTTGTTCTATAATGATAGAGTGGCATAACTCTGTGGTTACAATTGTGGATCTGTCTTTCTTGCAGTTCTGGTCCTTTGTACTGTTATTAGACACATAAACTTAGGTCCTCTTGATGATTTGACTCTTTTCTTATTATCACATTGCCTTTTTTATTATTTATAATGCTGTTTTGTCTGAATTTACTTTGACATGAATAGAGCTACTTCATCTGCCTTCAATTCTGTACACGTCTGCTAACATCCAAGCGTATTGCTGTTGCTTTGTGTTTGATGAGGAAGAAAACATAGTTCTGTTCTGTTGTAGTACTTAGTATGGTAAGGAGAACATAACAAGAAAAAGATAAGACAGGCTAATGAACAGTTGTGATCTAGTGTAGTCGTGAGACTGATGTAAGTACAGATCGCGGCCTGGAAGATGGAGGAAGTTTCTTTTGTGGAGGTGACAACTAAATCTAAGCCGAGGATGGAACAGCAAGTAGAATTAGAGGGGCAACATTGAGGGCAAGTTGGTCAGAGAGCGTCATGTGCAGAGCCTGAAGCTAACCGTGCTTCTGGGGACTGAAAACAGGGCGGCTGGACGTGTCTGGAGAGGCCATCAGCACCAGATTCGGAGGAGACTTGAACTAGTGATGGTGGCTCACACTCGTGGGTTCCTAGTGTGCGCCAGGAACGTGCTATGAGCTTAAGTGAGAAAATTCCAATAGGTTGCTAATACTGGTCAAATATCCTTAATCCAAAAATCTGAAATCCAAAGTGCTCTAAATTCTGAAACTTTTTGAGCATCTATAAAACTCCATACCTGCCCCATGTGTTCACTCAGAAAGACACCGGCAGCCTTTACCAGAGTTACGGACGCTGAGGACCAGGTAACTGTGCTGGGACGGCTAATGCAGCAGCCGGTACACTTAAGAGTGAACCTGCTGTGATTCTGTCTGGATGGCTGAGATAGTGAGATTTGATGGTTCAGTGTATAAAAACTTTGTTTCATGCATAAAATTCTTAAAAGTACTGTATAAAATTACATTCAGGCTATGAGTCTAAGAGATATATGAACATGAACAAAGTTGGTGTTTAGAATTAAGTTCCATCCCAATGATGTTGCATAAGTACGTGCAAAGATTCCAACATCCAAGAAAATCTGAGATCCAAAAACACTTCTGGGCCTAAGAATTTTGGATAAGGAATATTTGACCTGTATTGTTATAACCATTGTAAAATGAGAAAATAAGACATAGAGCATAGATAATAAATAACATGCCCAAGGTTATGCAGATTGAATTTTACCACATTATTTTGACTGTGGAATCTAAGCTTTTAAACATTATTTTTTCTGCATATATGATGTAGTAGGCCAAACAAGAGTTTGAACTTGATCCTGTACACAGTGTAAAACTCTCTGAGGATTTTAATCAAGAACATGGATAAGAAAATAAGATTTGTGTTTTAAAAGCATAATTCTGTCCAGTTTATGTTGGTGGAGGTGTGTGAAGAAGGCACCTAGAGATACGGCAGAAAAATGTTTCATGCTCTTACAGTGTGTGCGCTAATTTTTAAAGTGAAAGTAGTTTCTTGCTCTCTGTGATTTTGTTTTACCATCTATTAGATGAAAATGATGATGGTCCCTACCATCACCCTGTAAACAAGAATGAATTGCATAGAATTGCAAATAGTAAATATTCAGTAAATTTTAGCTATTGTAATGATGATGGTGATGATGATAGATTGACTCTTAAAAGTCAAGGTTAAATTTTAATGATGTTTTCTGTTTCTTTTCTTTTTAATGTATGAATGGTATCCTAGAACTTGGTGATTTTAGAACCTACAGTACAATAAAATATTAGCCGCTGCCTTCTTCTCCTGACTGCTGTTATTTTGGTTTTTCAGTTTATGGGAAAAACCGATGGAGACTACTATACTCTGGATGACATGTTTGTCTCCAGAGCAGCCGAGAGAGAGCGTGGCAGTGAAGAGGAGAAGCAGAGGAGGAGAGCTGTTGCTGAGCATCGGAGCCTGGCTGCCCAGATGGAGAAATGTCTGTATTGTTTTGACAGCGCTCAGTTTCCCAAGCACCTTATTGTTGCAATAGGAGTTAAGGTAAGAAATATAACATTTATTAATCTTTGCTTACTTTCACATAGAACTTGTGTGTTTCCTCCTAGATTGTTTCACAGTTTGAAGAGGTTTATACCTTCTTTTCTTTTACTTGTTTATTACATCTGTCTCCTAATAGTTTTTAAGCTCCATAGAGACAGAGATGACTTACTCACTGCTGTATACCAGTCATCTAGCCCTGTTTGTGGTACATAATAGTCATTTATTTCAATAAATATTTACTGATTTAATTCTTACCTTGAGCAAATTAGTTTTGTATGCGTGACATGTGACAGAGGCTAATAAGTCACTGGGGAAACGTGGAGAATCAGGTAAACTTTTGGAACTTGTATTCTAGTGAAATAGGCCAGAAAATAAATAAAGTAATAATTGCCTTGATTTGAGAGCGTGTTAATTGTCCTATGCAAATAAAGTGAGGGGATGGGGTAAAATGATGGGGGTTTTATTTTTGATGTGGTGGTCTGGAAAGCTTCTCTGAGGTACGTTAGTAAAGATTGTGAGGTGGGAAGGAGGAAATGAATGAGAGATGTTTCCAGAAGGAGCATCACTGAGGCCAAGCCTTGAAGAGGAACCAGCTTGGCACTGATGGGACGCGAGGCTGGAGCGGAGGGAGTGGGGCAGGCGAGGCGGCGTGGGTCCCAGAGTGCGCATGCGCGTGCTGCTGCTCTGGGTCCCGGGTGCGCTCTCACCACGCCCCTCACACCGAGTCTTTAGGGTCTTTAGATCATCAAAATAGTTAATTCCTTAGTTTGGATTTTGGTTTCTTTTACACTACTTAACTCTCTTTCTCTTCTCTTTTCTTTCATACTTTATCAAAAAAGCTGGTAAAAATTCCGTTCAAAATTTAACCAACTTTATAAAAAAACCCACGTTAACCAATTACCCATATTAATTTTTCTAAGTTCCTTTCCTGACTTTCAGATAAACATTTACATTTTTATAATTATTATCTCATGTATAAATATTTTATTCCCCTTTAAAAATGTAAGAATAAACCGGGTAATACTTAAATTTGTCCTGCAGTGCCTTAGGAGGAGTTCAGGGTTTCTTTGGTTTTCCCAGAGAGGCCGGCGGTGGGAAGCCTGTGGACTCTCCTCTCCGCGGACTCTCCTCTCCGCGGCCTCCTAATTACAGGCTGCGCTCCCAGGGAGGCCTTTCTGTTCACAGGAGATTGTCTTGGCCGAGAAATTTCTGTTTCTTTAAGTCTTGCCATTGTCTGTACATTCCTTTCCTTTTCTTCTGTTTTCCTCTTCTGTTGTGAGCTAGTCACATTTTCCAATAGTCATTTCTAATGGTGTTCAATTCTTTTTGCTTTCAATTTCTGAGAATTGACTGTTCTGTTTCTTTGCCCTTAGACCATGCTCTTAATTCTGAAGGCTTTGAGATCATTTGAATCTGTCCTTTCACCACCTATGCTTTATTTTGCTGTCTTTGCTCTAAAAACTACCATTTATCTTCAGCCTTTAATCTGTGAATATTTCTGCATAGAAATATTTGAAATACTGATCATAAAGAATTTTCTCAATTTTCCACAATATCAATCTGACTGCCTATCTCATCCACTGTAGCTAAATATATAACAGATTATTCCCCAAGTTAATTCCATATGATTGTGAGTTTCTAAGGAGTTACTTTGCCCTTAAGTTGAAATATAATAACAGAGTATTTCAGAGCCACTTGATAGTTCTCATCTTATATTTCTAATATTTAAAGTAATTTCTTAAATTCAAATATATTAATGAAAGTACATTTGCTTTCAGAGAGACAGTTAATAAACTTTCTGAGCAGCCAGCCTTGCCTTCTCTCTTTTCTTTTTATAAAAGTGGTCTATTTACTTAACATTATGCTTTAAAAAAAATACAAAACTTTTAGAACAACAGTTTTACACTTCCAGAAAAATGGGGAAGATAGCACATGGAGTTCCATATATCCGGGACCAAAAGGGTAAGATAGCACATGGAGTTCCATATACCTGGGACCAAACGGGGAAGATAG